CACTATCGAGATGGTCGTGGAGTGATCATGACTGCCATACCTTTTACTGCAGACTTCTTCCTCTTTTTACTCTTATTGCGCTTAGAAGAAGAAGGTTTAGCCCGCTGGGCAACTAGTACTTGAGTACTCTAACAAAACAAGCTCTATGTTGACTGAAGTTCCGCCACCACTTTTGGAAGAGGCAATAACATCTTATTCATGTTGTATTTCAACCAGAATTGATCGAAACTTATCGGGAGAGATTGGAGCACTATATCGACCTGTGCTTCTCCATTAATAAAAGCTCCAAAAACCTCTAGCTCATTCAGATGGCACATGACTGCGAGGACATGATACGTTATGGGAGTACTCTCACGCATGCTTGTGTTCATTAGAGTTCTCATAGCCTCTTGTCAGGAAGCCGCGACTGGTGGCCAAACAGTTTCTTGAGATTTAGAAGTATATGTGTTGCAGTGTCCATAGACTGATGTTGATGTTGAAGGACATTTGACATAGAAGCCAGAATGTAACACTTCGTTATCTCTTCAGTCTTTTTCCACTTAGCATACTCCCCATTCTCTTAGTTTGTTGTCGTCTGATCAGGCACATCCGGACAAGCCTCAGTCATAACAAATTTGTGCCCTTCAGCAGTTAACACTATATCCATGTTCCTTTTCCAATCAATGTAGTTGGGACCAGTAAGTTTGTTTCCTTTGAGAATTACGGACAACAAATTGAAAGACAGTTTGAATTTCGGGGATCATACTAAGTAAATTTTACTCAGCCAAGTCTTCGAATTTAATTTCTCTATTGATCTTTTTTAACAATATTCAGTTAAATTCATCGAGCCTCATGAGCCCAGCTCAAGAGCCTGCAACGGCTACATGGACCGTCGTTAAACTCCCTAAGCCTATACGGGGCGAGGCATTAGGGTCACCGAGGTCTGAGAAGGTCCGAAGAAGCCCGATGGAGGGCCGGCTCTGAACAGACGTGCGATCGTCCATGCATCATCGAACGTTGGTTCTAAGTTCTTCCTTGGGATTTCTTCCGCCATGGCTATACTGAACACAGCTTTTGGAACGTTGACGACAACAAAATATTACACAAAGACCTCGAACGGGCTAGAATTAACCTCGCCTTCAGCTTCTTCACAGGCGGATCGCCTGCGGACCTGCAAAAACTTTCGCACTGGAGGGGTTTTTCGATAAAGAACATCCAAGCTTAACTGAGCACTTGCAGGAGATGCAGTGCAAAAAAGTATAGAACGTATGCAAAACGTAATGGCTAAAATCGCCATTCCACCTTTATTTATAGAATTGAGTGACCTGTTTCTAAAAGTCTGCCCAGATTTGGTGAGCTGGTTGCCCAAGCTCCCCGCGAGTACAACCCCCGTCGCCCCTATTATCAGAGGTGATTACAGAATCTGGATCAATCAGGTAGCGCCACGTTACCTTGCCCATGTGCAACGTTATTTGTAGTAAGATTCATTCTTCTCCTTCAATCTTTCGTATTAGACTCTCTAATGGTGCGACCAACTCGAGATCTGCTGAGGTAGAATATTGACTTTCATGGACCAATTGTTGTCCTTTTTGGTCGATCAACTATGCCTACATGTAAACTTTCTATCAGGCCATCCGAGGAACCTAGCTCGACATTTTGTTGTTGCCTTGTACCTCTTTTGTTGTCTTTCAGATCGAAAGCTCTTAGTCCTGTATTGGTGATGTTCGACCACCACCGACCTTGATGCGAGTCTGCTCGACCAGACGGCTCGCTCTGCTTAGTCGACCGATTTATTCCTTTATGTATGGTATTCGTATCAGTGTGCAACATATTTATGTTTCAAGATGATAGTCATGTCCTTCGGGAAAACTATTAAGTGCATATGATGATTGTTATATCTGTTATTAACTTTGATAATTGCGCAGTATGTTTCCCCACTGAGTCGTTCCACACTCACCCCTTATTAACTTTCAACTTTGTTTATGCTATGGTGCGCTTTTGAGTATTATTTCAGTATTGAGAAATATGGAGAAGTTTGAAGTTTAGTTATCAAGTTTTAATGGTGATAAGTTGTTCATGAGTTATCTTGAAAGAAAAAACTCCAGTCGCATTCATTGTGTTTAAAGGTGAGTCTCAATGCATGCTAGTTCTGATTAGGAAAATTATGGTGATTGATAAAGTTTGAAGGCGAGATTTATGGCCCAAATGTTGTTCAAAATCTATTAACGACCCTTTAAAATGTCATGTTTACCTTTTTGAAAATCATGGCATTACAGTTGCATGCTTTATCACATAATGTATTTCACACTTTACTCATCGAACTTCGTTTGTGTGCCTCATGTCATATAGTATAAATATTTCACACTTTGTAACTTATCTTTTCTGTCTGTCGCATAATTTATCGCATAATAGTTTCGCACTTTATCAATTATCTTCGCATATTTGTCGCATACTTTATCGCATAATACTATCGAATTTATCAGTTATCACCGCATGTCTGCAGCATAGATTATCGCATAATTATTTCGCACTTTATCAATTATCTTCGCATGTCTGTCACATAGTTTTTTGCATCTATTACCTTAGCCTTTTTATCCCATAGTTTATCCCATAACTATTTCGCACTTTATCGATTACCTTCATCTGTTTGTCGCTTATCTTTTAGCATAGTATTTCTCACTTTATCAATTATCTTTGTCTGTATGTCGCATATCTTGTCGCATAATGTTTTTGCACTTTATCAATTATTTTCGCTTGTTTGTTGCATAATTTTTTGCATCAATTATCATCATTTGTCTTTCGCATATTTTATAGCATAATTGTCTCAAATTTTATTAATGATGTTTGATTGTTTGTCGCTTAGTTTATCGCATAACTATTCCACGATTTATCAATTATCTTCGTCTGTTTGTCGCATAATTTATCTCATAATTGTTTCTCTCTTTATCAATTACCTTTTATCAACTATCTTCGCATGTCTATCGCATAGTTTATCTCACAATTGTTTCGCACTTCAATTATTATCTTCACCTATCTCGCATACTTGTTTGCAGTGTTGTCTACAATTAACGCGCACAGAACGTAGACACGTGGGCTTCCTCATTCCTTGTCTGATCCTGTGGTCCACCTGGACAAAAAGGAATAGTGTGAAGCATAGTGGTATTACTTTATGTGCTCTCACGTTGTTTTGCAGGTTGAGCGACACCTATCTCTCCTCACATCTCTGAGCAGACTCACACCTAAAGACTAGATAGGCTGCACACCGCCCCACCGTCTCGTACCATCCCCGCCTCTGCCTATCCAGCACCCATGTCCCAGAGTCGTCGTTTGGCTGAGACCCGATTCCCCTTGGGTTAAGCTAAACACTGACGGATGTTATGGCCAACTTACTGGAGCCGCCGGTAGAGGGGTCTGATTAGGGACCACAGCGAAGACTTCATTACCGCTTTCCACGCCCTTTTTCAGGCTACCTCGAGTTATGATGCTGAGACCCATGTACTTCAGATCGGCCTTCAGATCGCAGCCTCTATCTCTTCTCACATTTGGATTGAGCTGGATGTCACCGCTGTTGTCATCCTCTTGACCTCAGGTCACCAAGTATCGTGACAGATTCAACACTCAATTATGCGCATTATATCCACACTCCAGACAATCTACTACCGATATCCCACATCGAGGAGAACCGACCCTCTGACTTCCTTGCTTGCATCGGTGCCTCAACTCCACAGAGGCGTACCTTTCAACCGGACGACGCCCCTCCCCGCCTCTGCACGCTTACTTAGATGCTCAGCTCGGTTACCCATCTTTAAGATTTGGGTAGTCTTTTTGGTTTTATGTTTCAGCCCACTCGTGGCACAAACCGTTTGTCTAGGCACCTGTTAGCCCAATTTTCAGATTTTTCGCTTCGGCTGTTGCTTTCATTTTCAATTTTTTCTTCCTTTTTTCTCTTTCTCTCTTATGTCTCTGGCTTTGGCTGTTTTTGATTGATGTATGAACTTGTAGATTTGTGATTTCGCAACCCAATTCGAGCATGATTATATACAGGTTGGGGATCCCGCATCAACCCTCCTCACTTATGGGGTGTTTCCTAGAAAAAAAAGTTGTCTACACGTAATCATTTATCTTTGTTTGCATAGTTTATCGCATAATTGTTTCACACATTATCAGTTATGTCTGTCGCATAGTTGATTACCTAACAATTTCGCCCTTTATCAATTATTTTCGTCTTTTATTCGCATAACTCATCTCATAACTTGTTCACACTTTATCTATATGTTTGTCTTTCGCATTACTTATAGTATAATTTATTTCACACCTTATATGGTGAAAAGTTAAATTATTATTTGCGGTGTGTAAAACTTATATCGTCTTCAAAACGAGGTGAAAAGAACTATTTCTTTAAAATTTTAAATAAAAAACTTCTCCTTTTCAATTTTTTAGATTGAAGAACCAATATTTACATTATAAATAACTAAGGGTGCTGAGAGAATATCGATTTTCAAAAATTTGCTTTAAATTTCTAGAAAGTAATGATGGAAATAATTGTTTCTCAAGTATGTTCCAATATAATATTAAAAAATCTAAATTTATGTGTTCAAATTAAAAAGAAAAACAGCCGAAGGTTAGAATTACCAAAATTCGATCGAGTCCAGTCGACGGGGCTCAATCGTTGACCAACGAGAACAAATCGGAATTTGCGAACAATAGCTATTAGTCTTCATACACATAGAATGTTATATTAATAGAAAAAAAGGCCAATAAAAAATACAGCTTGAACCAACATGTCAATATTACAGACACATCATCAACCCAGAAAATGAGATTTTCAGGGCAAAAAAAGGAAACACGATCCATAGCTATACGTGATAATAATGGCCTTAAACATAGTCTCTAGGATTTTTAACTAATAATAGTAGTGCTGATATGAAAACCGAAAGAGGCTTATATAGTCGAAGCCAATAGATAAACCGAAATAGACATGCTACGAGCATTGATTTATATAAGGTAATAATCATGGATGGCTAGTGGCGCTGAATAAGCTCAGGCGCCAACCCCGGCTCGCTTGAGGCAGCCGCTAGCTTAGACGGCGCCTCCGGTTTGCTTGCTGGGTAGGGTGCATTGGCTGTGATCCTATACAAAACAGTACATAATAAAGATTCGAAATTTACCTTTACACAACAAACTACTAATTAGGCATGATTAAAGTTGTCTAGTACCATATCTAACGGCAAGGTGATTTTTAATAGATATATATATAGGATTTAGATGGATCGCAAATTCTTGTGTGATACATTCTAATCGAGAGTTGACTAATCGTATCTATATTACAAAAGTTGATACTTACGTTATAATGTATTATAGTTTTATTTATGTGCTATTTAGAGTATGATATTTTAATTTGAAAAATATGTATTGCAAAAGTATGAGTACGAAGCATGATGAATAAAAATATTAAAACAATATAAATTCAAACATGACTTTTCATAATGATGCATTTTTAAAAGAAAAATAAGACAGGACCTGGCATAACAATAGCTCGTCTCATACAAGAATTTATATTGTTTTTTTTTTTCTTTGAATGACCACCTAGAATCCCACTGGCAGAGACGGATGCAGGATTTTCGACTAGTTCTGTTTTTTCAACCCAATATTAAACAAATTGAATCTGATTTTAAAATATAATTATTTAACCAAGTGTCGCCCAACCTCTTATTTAATCTCGACATCCGACTTACGAGCTTGTTTGTTTAAAGACTAATTATATAACATATAACATATATATTGGTTCTTAAAATATATTAAAAAGTTCAAAAACTACGAATTTAAACTTATGTGAGTGGATGAATAGTTAATTAAAGTTGATATGATATGTAAAAATGATTGGTTTTTATTATTTAATTATATTGATAATATTGAAGGTGGTGTGGTTGAATTAGAGTGGAGTAAGATTTTTGAGTATAAATTAATTTGAATTGAGAAAATTGGTTTACAAACACAACCTAACTTTTTTTGTAATTTTTTGTCTTTATTATTTTTTATTTTTTTTTTGGGGGCAAAATGAAAATTGGAGGAGACAAACTTAATTTACACCTAATAAATAGTTTTAAAATAATAAAAATTGAGGGGTAATTGCTCCCTAACATTATTGTAAATCCCCACTCGTCTATTTAAATTGAACAATATGATTAATCAAGATAGATATTTTTTCCACCATTTTCTTGTGTCCCCAAATACGGGGGGCTGTCATACTTTTGTTTTGTCAAAAAAAGCAATGATTTGATTAAAGAATGCTTGAAGATATTACTCAGAAAAAAAATAAATAAGTGATTAAGGTTAATATTTAATATACAATACTTTTGAACAATCCATTTGAAGTCATCTTACATATCTTCCGGAACCATTCCGTCAGAATAGTTGATCTAACGATTAGATCATCATACGTAATCGTCGAGGATAGTTGATCCAACGATTAAAACGCCGACGGAATAGTTCCGTAACGAGATTGTTGCATTTCTCCTTGATTTGGCCTCCCGTAGTTTTTCTAAATTTTTTTCCTAAAAAGGGATTACTTTTTATATTTTTTTTTGAGCAAGGATATTCATACCTGTCCTTTCTCTTCTCCAGGAACCTGGCCAGTGAGTTTTTCCTGGCAATTGGTAAATCTGCAAATCAAAAAAAAAAAAAAAAAA